ACAGCATCTCCGTCTCCTCGCCTGGGCAGCTCTCCATGTAGCAACCGCCTCAATTGTCAATCAGCTCGCGTCCTCCCTCCAGCACAGCATGTACAGGATGACGTTAACGCATTTTGTTTCAGACTTCATGTAATCAATTCTACCAATGATACTTGCCAAGATACACTCCGCACCATATTCGTCATCACCTGTCAACGATCCGCATCATGAGTAGGCCCGCCCCCACTCGCAACTTCCCTAGCGCCTTTGTTACTCAGTCGCGCAGCCTCGTCAGCTGCGCGACCTTGGCACGCATGTGCTCGCGAGCGCTGCAAATATGCAGAGTGCTCCTAGTTATAGGACTAAGGCTGCCGCCCACGTCGCCCGCAGCACCTTCTGCCACACGAGCCGGCGCACCGCAGGTGATCCGAGTCGGTGACATCTTGACGCAGCAGACTGTCGAATTGGTCTAAGCTCAAGAGCGAAGAAAGGCTGCGCAGCATCTGGCGTCATCCACAAAGGCGAGGCTGGGGCTCTTGACCTCCAAGACCGGCCCCAGCCACCAGACATCAACTCCGCAAACAGCAAGTTTCCAACAGGCAGGTACAAACGGGTGATCAGTCCTGCACTAGACAGCCAGCCCAGCCACCGGATATCAACTTTGCGAACGGTACACACCGGTGATCAGTCCACGCTTCACTGGTAGAATCAGCGAGGCAAACACTTACCAAACACACAAACACAACTAAGCACTTATCACCCAACACTCGTCACACCACACAAACAAACGTACAACCAAACACTTATCTTGCAAGACAAATGTGAGACATTGGGTCCTCACAGGCACACGTCCCTACACTCACAAACATGCCATTCCGTAGTCAGACGCCCCGTTTCAGTCGTCGCCGCGCAGCGGAAAGGGCGCAAGAAAATGGCACAAATTGAATGACTGAGACAGAAATGGGAGGGGTGGGCTGCCTGGACAGCCGCGGACCTTGTCGAGAAGAAAAGGGTTCTTGAGAGGGTTCCGCAAAAGTGATCTTCAAAGGGTTCCTTGAAGAAGTTCCCCGGTGAAAGGACACCAAACAGCAACTTTTAGAGGCGAAAGGAGCCACCCAGTATCTAGGACTTGGCTGGCCTGAAGGAAGAATGCGCGTCTACACAGGTAGTTACACCTAAAAACGCAATTGCCCCACCCCCCAAACACACGTCTCAGAGACGAAAACCACAAGTGTGCAGTAGTTTCAAGTCCTTTTGCAAGAGCTATTAAGTTAAAAGGTCACAGAAAAATCTGGTGTTCAAGAAGTGTGTGACCGCCCTTTTTGCCGCAACTTGCTGTTGGTTAGGGCTGTTCCGCAGAAGTTCCGCGGCGCCGGAAACGCAGACCCACGCCCCTCATCCCCATGTCACTGCATGTGTAATCGGATTCCAGCGATAGTAGCAGCCCGGATGATGTCCTTAGAAGAGAGGCTGCAATAGTCCCGCCCTTTCCAAAGGGGGGAGGAGGTCCAATTGAAAGCTGTCAAAGCGAAGCAAAACAGCAGTGCTTACTTTGCCGCCTGTAAACGCGACCGATCTTTGAGTGGCCCTTTTCGGGTGATCGACACGAAAAAATTGCCTTGATGAGCAAGTAATTGATAGTAGTTGTGCTTCCCATGGCTGACCAGAACACAATTGGCCACACTCAATCTTGCGAAGTGATCTACAACCAGTTGGTGGCCATTGAGTCTGGTCAATTTACAGCCAAACGCCGTCCCGGCGCCAGGTGGAAACAATATGCAAACAAACTCGACAAAGCCAGGGCGCCTAAGCGGAACTGAAAAAACATTTCTAGAAGCACACCCTCTCTCCCGCAAGTTTCATTTACAAAAGGGGTGCAGGAAACACAGGTTCTTGTTGCCACCGGTGTCGCTGAAGAATATCAAAATGCCAGGCCACTGGACTCGCGAGTGACCCAGGCTGAATCAACTTGTGCAGGAATGGTCTGGTTGGTGATGCTGTTCAGGAAGTAGAATACTCCCGGTTGCCGTCCTCTGCCGCACTGCCCGTGATTCAAGTAGTTTACGATTTGTTTTCCATTGTAGTTTCCGAGCCATTGTTTCCGAGTAGTTTTCCGAGTTGCTTTCCGGGTAGCTTCGGAGTAGTTTCCGAGTTGCTTTCCGAGTAGTTTCCGAATAGTTTCCGAGTTGTCTTCCGGGTAGTTTCCAAGTTGTTTTCCGAGTAGTTTCCGAGTTGTTTTCCGGGTAGTTTCCGAGTTGTTGTCCTAGCAAGTTCCGAATTGTTTTCCGAGTAGTTCCGGACCTGTTTTCCTAGTAAGTTCCGAACTACTTTCCTAGTAGTTTCAGAATAGTTCCCGAGTAGTTTCCGAATTTCCTGCCGAGTAGGTTCCGAATATATTTCCGAGTAGTTTCCGAATTGTATTTAGGTAGTTTTCTACACATTTCCTAGTCGTGTCCGATATCTTATCTCATGAGGTGCCCGCGTTGTTGTTTCCGAGTCCCGCACATGCATTTATTGGTCCAAGGCTTGGGACTCTTTGAGCACCCAGCCATCTGCAGGCACACTAAGGCAATGCTGAGCCTGACCTTGGCCCACGTATCCCTTTTAAAGACGTCAGAGCCACAGCAATGTGTAGCCAAAGAGCTGTTGGGCCGAGGGGCGCGCGGGGGGTCATTGACAGTAAAGTCAGTAGGCGCTGATCCTTAGTGAGAAAGCTGTGCGCTTCATGTTCTACACGAATGTAAGGGTTCACGGCTGAAAGCAGTTGTTTACAGGAACAAGTTGATGCACCGCAAGCTGTTCCCGATCTCGTCCCTTCAAAAAAAACAGTGAAACGTGATTCTCAGACAAAGCTCTCTTGCGCGTCTTCGCTGGTACAGCAACTGCGGCCGGCGGTGGCATTTGCCGGAGCACTGGGCCCACTGGGGAGAGGCTCCATGCTTCGCTCCATGATGCGCCACTAACATCAAAGCATCTGCTCCCTCTCTAGAATAAGCCAAGCAAACGAAAGCGACCGGCGCACAGCCCTTCTCCGTCCAAGTTCCTTGCCCAAACCTCATCGCCGTGATATGTGTCAAGGCCTGGACCTTCGCAGCATGATCAGCTTAGCTACGACATGCGGTTGTCAGCAAACCTTATCATTGAACTGCTTTGCAGTTATAGCAAGAATTGGACCACAAAAACACAATAGTTGGTGGCCAAAGGAAGTTCAATGCCATTCTTGCGAAGCTTGCGTATCTGTGCAAATAGCTGCAATATTTGGGGAGGTCCCGGGATTCGCAATTATTGCAATTCTTGGAATTCGATTCCAAGAAGTGCAATAATTGCAATATTTGGAGGTCCCGGATTTTGCAATTATTGCAATTATTAGAATTAGTCACCCCAGCTTTGAGGCCAAATCTGGGACCAACTAATTATTGCAATAATTGCAATAATTGCAATATTTGGAGGTCCCGGATTTTGCAAATATTGCAATTATTGGAATTCCATTACAAAAATTGCAATAATTGCAATATTTAGGGGTCCCGGATTTTGCAACTACTGCAATTATTTGAATTGAAGTCCAATTCCAATAATTGCAATTATTGGAATTGAGTTCCAATACTTGCAATATTTGCAATATTTGGAGGTCCCGGATTTTGCAATTATTCCAATTATTGGAATTCAATTTCAATAATTGCAATAATTGCAATATTCTTGGGTCCCGGATTTTGCAATTATTGCAATTATTGGAATAGATTTGCAATAATTGCAATAATTGCAATATTCGGACGTCCCGGATTTTCAATTATTGCAATTATTGGAAGTGAATTCCAATAATTGCAATACTTGCAATAATTGCCATAGTTGCAATAATTAATTGATCCCAGATTTGGCCGCAAAGCCGGGCCGACTAATTTTAATTTGCAATATTTGCAAAATCGGAAATCTCCGAATATTGCAATTATTGCAATGATTGGCATTGAATTCCAATAATTGCAATAATGTCGAAAACCGGGAGGTCCGAATATTGCAATTATTGCAATATTTGGAGGTCCCGGATTTTGCAATTATTGCAATTGTTGGAATTCAATTCCAATACTTGCAATAATTGCAAAATCCGGAACCTCCGAATATTGCAATTATTGCAATTATTGGAATTGAATTCCAATAATTGGAATAATTGCAATAATTGCAATATTTAATTGATCCCAGATTTGGCCTCAAAGCCGGGCCGACTGATTCCAATAATTGCAATACTTGCAAAATCCGGGACCTCCAACTATTGCAATTATTGCAATTATTGGAATTGAATTTCAATAAATGCAATATTTGCAATAATTGCAATACTTAGTTGATCCCAGATTTGGCTTCAAAGCCGGACCGACTAATTCCAATAGTTGCAATAATTGTAAAACGCGGGACTTGCAATTATTGCAATTACTGGAATCGAATTCCAATAGTTCCCATAATTATTGCAATTACGGGAAACCAGCTCCAATTTTTTCAACAATTAGAATTTCACTCCAACAATTGACTCAAAGCTGGAACCAGCTTGAACGACACATAGGGTATGATCTTCCCTCTTACGGGGGGGGGTGGACGAAACCCTGCGTAATTGACGTGTCTCGGGGGGGGACTAAGGGGGGGTTATCCTCTATCCTCTCTTAGGTATCCGACACGCCGAACAATGTCGGCGGATTTTACCGCGTCCTCTAGGGTAACCGCACGGCTTTGGGCTTCCTTCATTTGAATGATGGTGCCTCCCGGATCCCTAGGGCTAAATGACAGAGGTGAAGTGAGTTGGGGTCCCATTGCTGGAACCACCTGCGTGCGCACACGCAGACACACCAATGCGCACCCGTACGCACCCACCCTGACCACTGACCCCACCCCGACCACCCCGACCCCCACCTCCATCCGCACACCCACACCCACACCCACCACTCACCTCCGACCCGCCCATGCATGTATCACATGCAGTGATCATGCCAAAGCCATCTTGCCATATACATGTGCAGCGACATCACACTTGCCGTGAG